CTTTTCCACCCCCAAAATGTCATCGTGTCCAATATGACAGAATGTTCCTGGTGATTATCATTCAGGGAAACATGACTTGCTAAATTATCTGTGGATGACAGTCAGAATTTCTTAAGCACTGAAAAGCATTCCATGCTTGGTACACACCTTGGTTAGGAGATCCATGGTGTACCCAGAAGCAGGCCAGTGTAAAGCCATGATGCAGAACTCTGTGGGTCAGACTGCCTGGGTTCAAATCCACATGTAGCACTTACAGGCTGTGGGGCCCTAGGCAGCTCACTTAGTAGGCTCCCTAAGCAATAGTTTTCTCAGTTATAGCCCAGGAGCAATGCCACCAAATGGAATAGGATGAATAAATAAGCTAACGTGTATACAGTGCTTAGCAAGATGTCTGGTACACAAAGTAAGGCCTTTACTGCTAACTTAATCACCCTCATTATTATTAGGACAGTTACATTTGATGAACATGTATATCTAGTTAGAGCAGAGAACTCTCTGTAAATCCTGATGTGTTACTTGGGTACTTCCTGCAATGTGAAATTCCAGGGTAAGTGAGCTCCAGCAGTCATAGTGGGGCTAAGCGTGTAATTGAGATGGAGAATAGCTTGAGGAGTTGGATATTCAATGGGTAGCTGCAGTCCTCAGGGCTGCCTCCTTGCAGTTCCAAGGCACCATTCACATAGATGTGAGACATGCAGCACAGTGATCCTACTGTCATTCTTCCTCACATCACACTCAAGATCTACAGAAAAAGTGGAGTTTTCTATGTTATAAGAAGTCATATTCAGGATATTGTTTTTGAGAAAGTTTAATGTTGAGAGAAGTTTGGTTGGAGATTGGAGGTTGTAAGCAGAGAAATCAGAGTGTAGACAGAGCTGGGGCAGTGAGGTTCTATTAAGTACTTTGAAGTATATAGAACAAGGAACTGGATCTTGGACTGCACAATGACCATAGAATACAGCCAGAACAGACCTTCCCTGTGAGATCAACCAATAAGGAAGACTTTTTGATGTCTGTAAGACCTGGGGAAAAGAGGACCATAGACAGTTTAAGCTACATGGACAAGGGCAAGTCTGAGCCAGGTGGTTGAGTAGGCATAGTTGGAGGTACATGGATAAGGGAAAAGTGAGTCTCTGTTCCTGGGGAAGGGTATTCATAAGAGCAATAACTTGGCAGGTATCCAGCAGAGGCTTACTGGGAAACCTCCAGAAGTAGAAAGAGATAGGTACAAATTTATGTTTCAAATAAATGTTTGATGGAAAATAAATTGTTTTCTTTTTCTTTTTTTAAACAATCTTTTTTAATGTTTATTCTTGAGAGACAGGGGGAGACACAGAATCTGAAGCAGGCTCCACAGACTCCAAGCTGTCAGTCAGCACAGAGCCTGATGTGGGGCTCGAACCCGCAGACCGTGAGATCATAACCTGGGCCGAAGTCAGACAGTCAATTGACTGAGCCACCAAGTGTGTTTTCTTATAAAACATTCTCATTATAAAAATGTCAGAAGATATGTCAAACGAAAAATGTAAAAGGGAAAAACCATTGCTGCTTCCACCCCCTTAAGAATAACCATCAACATTTTATCAAACCTTCTTCTGGCTTTTGGTTGTGCATATTCTTTTCCCATTGGTATACAGCATACACAAAATTGTGTATACTGGCTTAAATGTTGCTCCCTTTGTTTTTTTTTTAAAAAGTTGATCATATGGTAAACTCAAATCTTTCTTTTTCATAATTTCAGTTCCTTGGCAATGAAAATGGTTGTTGTGGTGTTCTGCACTCCTCTGCTTGTTTAGGAAATGGTGGGGCGGTGGTGTGGGAGAGGTTTCTCTGCCCAGTGTCACAACCATGCAAAAAATGTTAGCCATTGTTAGCAAGTTCTGGCACAGGGCATTATTGTTTTAAGAGGTTGCCAGATAAGGTAAGAAATTGTTTCTGCACTAAGGGGTGAAGGATATGGTTCAAAAACCACATTTCCTGAATGAGTAGGGACTGGAAGCAGAAGAGGGAGACAGCTGAATGAGGTGTTTGGAGGCTGGGCTTGGGCTAGAATTTATTGCCTTTTTTTCTTTTCTTTTCTTTTCTTTTCTTTTCTTTTCTTTTCTTTTCTTTTCTTTTCTTTTCTTTTCTTTTCTTTTCTTTTTTTTCTTTTCTTTTCTTTTCTTTTGTCTTGTCTTTTTGTTTTGTTTTGTTTTAATGATAATGTCCTCAGTATTGAGTAGTTAATTTTGGTTCTTAAGTAACTTTTTTTCTCAAGAAGGATAAATGGGCTGGGAATTTTCTGAGCCTTTGAGTTTCTGATGATTTTTTTTTTTTTCTGGTTGATACTGTACTTAATGGAAAACTTGGTATAGTTTTATAAGGTTTGGTCTTGCTATTCCCTCCCTCAAATTCTGTGGGTGTTGCTTTTGACTTCTGTTTTTTTGGTATTGGTTGGAGAGGAGAAGTGTTGTGGGTTGAATTCTGTCCCTGCCAAAAGATGTTGAGGTTCTAACCCTCAATACCTGTGAAGGTGACCTTATTTGGAAGTAGGGTCTTTGTAGACATAATTGAGGTAAAATGAGATTGTACAGGGCTAGGGTAGGCCCTAATTTACTGTGACTGTCCTTAGAAGAAAAGAAGCACAGACATAGGGGAGGAGGCCATGTGATGACACAGGCAGAGACTGATGTGTCTACAAGCTAAAGATAACAAGCAACACCGGAAACCAAGAAAGGCTTGGACTAGATTCTCCCCTGGAGCGTTCAGAGAGAGCCTGGCTCTGCCCAACACCCTTAAATTGTAGACTTGAAGCCTTCAATTTCTGTTGTTTAAGCTACCCAGTTTATGGTACTCTGTTACAGCAGCCTGAGAAACTAAGATAAGCAGTCTGAGGGGAGTTCTGGTTCCTTTGAAAGTCTTTGTGGTTTTGTAGCCCATTAAACTTTTTTTTTTTTTTTTACTTTTTCCTTTTCTTTCTTTCTTTCTTTCTTTCTTTCTTTCTTTCTTTCTTTCTTTCTTTCTTTCTTTCTTTCTTTCTTTCTTTCTTTCTTTCTTTCTTTCTTTCTTTCTTTCTTTCTCCTTCCTTCCTTCCTTCCTTCCTTCCTTCCTTCCTTCCTTCCTTCCTTCCTTTCCTTCTTTCTTTCTTTCTCTTCCCTATATCCTTACCTGGATGTTTGTGATAAAGAAAAAATTATCAGCTTAGTTTTGCCAAGATGAGTCAAGGTGCAGTCCCTTCAGGGAAACAGCCTGGGGTATGGTGGGTTCTTTTTATCTGCATACTTTAATTCAGAAAAGATTTTTTTTTAATGTTTGTTTATTTTTGAGAGAGAAAGAGAGCGTGTGTGTGTGTGTGTGTGTGTGTGTGTGTGTGTGAAGCCGTCTCTGTGCTGACAGCAGAAAGCCCTATGCAGGGCTTGAACTCAAGAACTATGAAATCATGACCTGAGCCAAAGTCGGATGCTTAATTGACTGAGCCTGCCAGGTACCCTGTTGGGTTTGTTTTCTTTTTTTCTAAAGTGTATTTATTTATTTTGAGAAATAGAAAGAAAGAACACATGAGCAGAGAGGGGCAGAGAGAGGGAGAGAGAAGCCCAAGCAGGTTCTGTACAAGCAGCATGAAACCCCCTGTAGGGCTCGAACCCACAAACTGTGAGCTCATGAGCTGAGCTGAAATTAAGAGTCGGATGCTTAACTCACTGAGCCACCCAGGTGCCCCAAGATTTGTTTGTTTTTAGTTTTTAAAATATCATGTCCTCATTTCATCTCAAAAACACCTTTTTTTTTTCATATCTATAATCTTTACTCACATCATTAAAATGTTTGCCCTTCTCCTCTGATTCTGGGGAGACTTCCTCAAGCTTGTTCTTTATCACCGAGTGGATTTTCTATAGTGTTAATTTTATTCTTTATGCCTGAAATGTGGATCGAAATCTGGTTACTGCTTTTTAAATTTCCTTGCTTGTCTTCCCTTATTTTTAGTGTGAATCTAGTGTATAGATAAAATAATCAAAATAACACAGCATATGAAGGGTATAGAGGCCATATTATCCTGTATTCTACTGAGGGTGCCATGCAATTCACTGAATTTTTTTTCTCCGTCTTTTTTTTTTTTTTTTTTTTTTTTGAGTCTTCAGGAAGATACTCTTTTCCTTTCTCTCATAAGCTATATGTTTGCTCATTCTTCCATCATTTATTATTTTGGGGATGTTTGTAGGGGAGGCTTTTCATCAAAGAGAAAAGGTATAGTCAGCCCTGTTTTTTTTTTGTTGTTGTTGTTTATTTTGATTTGTTTGTTTTGTTTTTGAGAAAGAGAGAGACATAGAGTACGAGCTGGGGAGGGGCAGAGAGAGACACACACAGAATCCGAAGCAGGCTCCAGGCTCTGAGCTGTCAGCACAGAGCCCGACGCAGGGCTCAAACTCATGAACGGTGAGATCATGACCTGAGCCAAAGTCAGACTCCTAACCAACGGAGCCACCCGGGTGCCCCTAGTCAGCCCTGTTTTACCTACATGGATTGATCTGTTGGTTCCTGTTGGTAGGTGTGGGGGAAAGACAGGAGCAGATGCCCAGGAAAGGGCCTGGATAGCTCTCTGACCTGGTGGGCTAAGTGTGCTTAGGCCCCTGGTTGTTTCAATAACAACAAAAGATGCCCTGTTACTATCCTTACATTATTGGAAGTTCTTTCCTTTTCTGACACTCCCTTATCTTTCCATATGCTTTTTGCATTTATGAGGTTGCCTCTTACTTTGTAGTTACAAGTATTTTATCAGGGTCTTGGGAGATGTTTTAAGTGAAACAGGAATTACCACCTTAGCCTACCATCACCCCACCCCCTATACTATGGGCTGTCCTCCCTCTTCCTTGTACTTCCATAGTCCTTGGTCCTGCCTGTTTCATTCCTAGCCCTTTCAGCCTCTGCTTCCTCCCCATCCCCTCTACCCCCCTGCCAAGCCTGTCTCTCTTCCTCCCCTCTTCCTGGCAGACCTCTGGATTATCCTGTGTGTGCTGCAACCACAGGTGTGCCCACACTCCACCACCAGCAGCAGAGACGCCCAGGACCTGGAAGGGAGCCGGAGTGCATGGTGGGCAGAAAAGAAATGAAACGTGCCTACACAGAGCCCATCGATGACGGGAGAACGTGTGTTCTGTGCTACCGAGAATCCGACCTTCTTCAGAGCAGGGTCCTGTACTGCGTCCACTTCAGTCAGTAGAACATAAGCTCCTCTAGCGGTCAGCCCCAAACACGGTCACTTTGGATGATCTTTGTGGAACAGATCTTCATTTCATCCACTTGCCAGGTCAGGCCATGGTGGGTGGCCCATTTAGACTTAAGATCTTCATGTCCATACAAGGCTCAATCCTAGGGGATGCAAATATAAAATATTTACAGGAAACATAGGCACATAAAATGTAAACCATATAAAAGTATACACCTCTCATCCATGCTCCCAACTGGTCATTTCCCTTTCCCAGAGTCAGCCACTGCTGCTGGTTCCTGTGTGTCCTTCTAGAGACCCCACACATGTACAACTGTGTATGTTTACACAGATTTATATACATAAGTTTATAGTGTATATACAGATGTGTATACAGATAGGCACACATATACACATACACACACACACACTCAAGGAATGTACATTGTGTTATAATTATCTGTATGGTGTTCTCCAATTTCTTTCCCTTTTCATCTCTCCCACCTCTGTCTTGGAATAGGAGCATAAACATTTTGGATCTCTTTGACCACCTTCCTGCCTCAGTGGTTCTCAGTCCTGGCTGCACCTGAGAATCAGTTGGGGGAGAACTGTCAGTGCCTGAACCATACCCCAGACCAGTTACAACAGCCTCGCTGGGGAGGGCTCAGGTTTCCCTGTGTGCAGGGATTGGGCACTACAGCTTTAGTCGTGTGCAGGAGCAGCAGGCCCAGTGGACTCAGGGACCCGAGTACTGAGTGTACCTGACAAGGAAATACAGAATAACGGATTCCATGTAGATTGAGGATGAATCCTACCAGGCTGCTCTGACCACAGCCGGCCCACTGCTTTCTTCTTCCTCTGGGCCGGATAGAGTGGCCACATTCTTGGTTCGATGAGGCGAGAATGACACTCAGCACATCCACCCTGGGCAGAGAGAGCAGGGCCCAATGCTGCAAGAGTTAAATGAATTTACAGTGCAAAGGGAAAGGAGAAGAAACTATTTAAGGTGCTTGGTTACTAAACATCTAACTCAGATCCACTTTGCTTGCATGGTGACAGCATAAGGTGTGACTGACTGAAAGAAAATTAATGATCTGAGCCCGGGTGCCTCCCAAATGGAATGGTCCAGGAGTGCTGTGGAGCTAATTAACCAGCCTGCATGAAAAGTGAAAATAGATGAGGGAACAGGTTTCTTTTCACAGTGGCCTGGTACTGTGCATAGACCTACATATACTATTTTTGGCATTCCCTATTAAGTATTCAAAATGATGTAATGTTGAAAGGCATAGCTCAGTACCCTTTTTTCAGGGTACTGGAATGGATTCTGGATTGGACTGCCTGGATTCAGAGTCAGCCCTGCCATTGGTCGGTGTCCTTGGACAAGATGCTGGGTACTTTCTGTGTGGTAGATTCCTTGTCAGAGGAGTATTAAAAACAACACCCACTTCATGAGGTCGTTGTGAGGATATGAGATAATGGGTATAAAGTGTCTCCAACGAACCCTGTCCTAACACATAGTACGTCAAAGAAGGCACTTACTGTGTTGAAATACACCCCTCTAGGGCTTGGGGGTAGGAATTTTTCTGAGGTCTTGTATTCTTTAAGCTTAGAAACTCTTGCCTGGTGGACCTGCCTTAAAGGAGAATTTTGACAATAAGAGAGGAAATGCCAGTCTCTTTCCTCATCGTCTGTGTCAGGGTAAAGTATGTCTGGTTCTGTAACCACTGAGTATTGAGAATAAAACTGTGAGGATAGTATTTACTGATCTCCATGTAGAATCTGCTTCGTGGATTTTTGAAGACAAAAGGATAAACTTGTCCTGTTGACCAGGTTTTTCTGTACTGGGGAGTGGGGGTGGAAGTTAGCTGCTTTGTTGCCTCCTAACAGTATTGTTTTGAGTCTTAGTCACGACTCTGTGAATAATGTTCTGGAAAATTGCTTTCTTGGATACATTTATCTTGACTCTCTTTTTGAAAATGTACATTAACAATCAGTAGCTTTGGCTGGTTACTTGGGGAGATCCTATAAGACATAAAACGGTTTAAAATGCTTTCGGTTGCAGAGGGAGCCTTCCAAAGGCTCCCAAAATGATACTTGGATCTTGTGGGAGGAAATCTTCCAATTTTCTAGGTTTCTGTAAATATATATGAGTTATGTGGTTATAAAACCTTATGATGGAAAATATGTTTAAGAAACATTAATGCACTCCCAGGCGGGGACTGCACAAAAGATGCCCTAACACATTTAATGCCCTAGTTAAATGTACTGCACAAGTCCCGTTTTCTGGAACTGGATAAACAGAACATTCTTTCTTTCTATTCTGAGCTTCCATCCTCCCCCCTCCACCTGACCCTCCCCACCCCCCCACCTAGTGATTTCAATGGCACAATAAATGGAAATCTTATTTCCTGCATCTGCAGACCTATTTACCTGAATGTCTGAGCTCACCCTTGCCTTTCTCAGGTCTGCTCTTTCTGAAATGCGATTTTGCTTTCATCTCCCTGGCTTCTTTGCCCTCGTTTTTTAAGCCTTCTCTAATCCTGCACTCCATTTACTTTAATCTGTAATGTTGGACATTGCCATTCTGCATAGACACCTTTAAACATTCATCATCTCCCAGATTTGCATTTTCTTCCATTATGAACTTAAATCCCTTTTCACAGTCTATAACAGTAGAAAAAAAATTTAAAATAAAGAAGTGTTATCAAAAGCCATTTCTGCCAATTTAAAATGCCTTATTGGATGGCTTTATCCCCTTTGATAATTCCATTATCTTGGCAAACTATGACTGGGACTTATAGTTCCTTTGTGTTATACATATGTGCATATGTACATATTTAGTTATATGTATTACAAATAGGAAGAACCTTATGCCCCCATGCCATTTATGGTCTTTTATTTTTTGAATTCAAAGAAGTGGTGATTTTAAAAGAAAAGTATGTGTGGGTTTGTGGTGTGTGTGTGTGTGTGTGTGTGTGTGTGTATGTGCATGTGCGTGTGTGTGCACGTGTGTGCATGCGTGTGCTGGAGGCTGTATGTGACCTGCAAAGCCTAAACTTTAAAAGCAAAACTGTGCTGACCCTTTATAGACTTGTTACTTAAAAATGTGTCTGTTTTGGGTACCTCCATTTTTTTTTTCAAAGTACAGGTCTTTTTTTTTTTGTTTGTTTATTTTTGAGAGAGAGACCAAGCAAGAGCAGGCGAAGGACAGAGAGAGAGGGAGACAAAATCCAAAGCAGACTCCAGGCTCTGAGCTGTCAGCACAGAGCCCAACACGGGGCTCAAACTCACAAATTGTGAGATCATGACCTGAACCGAAGTCAGGTGCTCAGCCGACTGAGCCATCTAGGCACCCCTCAGACGTGTGGGGTAGTGTGTTAGAGCCTGAGCTGGCCAGTTTTAGGAATTGGGAGAGAAGGTCATTCTAGGTGTTTGACCCCTGCTCGTCAATTTCAACCCCTATGTCCCATTGTTTCCTGTCTGTGAAACAATGTGATTGAACTAGATACTCTCCGAGATTAAAAGCATGGCGGGGTGGATGCATGTATCTGTGGTGTATGAATGTTTCATGGGAAACACCTGCCAGTGGGACAGGAGGGGACCTGATAGATCATTGGTGGTTGATAACATGGTCATCCTACCTAGCCTGGCATTTCTGGAGTAGCAGGAATGGTGATCAAAGTGTATCTTATCACTTAATTGAGGTAGGAATAAAATAGGTCACAGTTCACAGGACACCAACTATTTGGAGCTAAAGGAAATGTGTCCACAGTGCTGGTTATTGCAGTGAAATGTTTTTAATTCTTCCTAAAACCTCTTTAAGCATCTGCTGTGGAATGTTAAATCAACCAGAGAATTTCTGGTGTCCTGTTGCCAGAACCAGTATTGTATAATTCTTGTGGATACCCTTAGGAGATTTTCACTTTCTGCCCCTGGCGTCGTCTGCATCCTTGTGATGCTCTTGAGATTTACTTTGACCTGAACCCCTTTGCCTACATGTAGTTAAAGCACCAGGCTCCGGAATGCTGCCTCCAGCTTCTAAGCTGCTGAATCACCCCACTTGTTTCATGCTGCCTGTTCATACATAAAATTTCTCTCCCTGCTTTGTGCCTTTCTAATAAAAGGAAACTGGAAGTTAGGGGTCTTTGTGTCTGAGGGACAAACCAACAGAAAATGTTTGGGAATGATAATATAGTAAGATGTTCAAGTAATCCTGAAATAGAAACCCTTCCTTCCCGAGCCCCATCTCCGAGTCCCTTTTTATTGCAGACCAGATAAAATCAGAGTGTCAGAGTGCAGCTGCTCAGAAGGCTGAAGGTCCTCATGGTTACAGCCTGCTTTGGAAACTCATCCCCACCATACTTGCAGTTAATGAAAATATTTGCTTTGCTTGATATAAACAAAGTTTATGGGCACATTTTATAATTAGGAAACCCTTTAATTTTCTTTTATCCTTAACTCCCCCCTTTTGTTTGTATCATTGGAGAATATGAAGTATTTAAGAAAATAAACCCTTTCTCAGTAAGGAGCTTATTTTTTATTTCTGGTATTGTTAGAATAGATGTCTTTCTCCCTAATATTATGTCCCCATCCAAATTAAGGGACTTGAAGTCTGGTTTGGGTTTTGTTTTGTTTTGTTTATTGTAAAGGTTAGAAATATTTCTGTATGAGTAGGGAAGACCATACTTTGTCACAGTGCCTACTCCTATCAGGCCAGTCTAGACATTGGACTACCAGCTTGGTGATTGGGAGGGTGTAAGGGCCAGCCACAGGGCAATGAAGCTCTTTTCAAACCACATGGACAACCTCTTCAAGGTCCCCTGCACATCCTGTGCATGTACCCCTTGGGGCTGTGGCCTCAGCGCTTTCCAAGTTCTACATCTCCTAGTTTCGTTGCCAGATAGCCAGGAGTCAGGTGACCAGGCACCATTCTTGTAGGCACAGCACTTGCTTGCATTCCCTAGATGAGACCAATGTGGTGGTGGGGACTGGTCATAAGCACCAGATATAGGACTGGAGAAAACAGCTCTCTTTTCCTCTATCTTCTCAAATCTCCTTAGTCGGGGAGGCACTTAGCCCCAATGGGCACTGGCATTGCAGTATACCCCCAGCTCTGCCTTAAGATCTCTTTCATTGACAGATAGTCAAAGGAGAGGCACCTGGGAAACTTCATGTCCTGGCTCAAGACCTCAAGGACAGGTGGTTTCAGAAAGATTTCTGGCTTTATCCACAGTGGTGTAAGAGTAGCTCCTGGGTCCTGGGAATTGGTGGTATCTCATGGTACACATCATAAAGCAGGGTGAGCGAGGGTTATAGGAGGACCAGAGTGGGTGACTTCGCTGTTCACATAGATTTAGGATGTAAAGATTTCCACTAATTCCTTCTTGCTTCCTTCCCTCAGGGACAGAACATTTATGTGAATGCTCCTTTTTTTGAAAATTCTGGTGAAGGTTTCCTGGTAATTGTTTTCTTCTTCAAATACCAGTCGCTTGGGAAACTCAAGATTTATCACTAAATGTCCAAGTTTGTTAAAATCCTTCAAGCATAGCTGGCCCAGGTGTGACTAAAATTACCTTTCTGAGGTTGCCAACTTATCCATTGTGGGACCCACGGCTTTTCTGTTCACAGATATACTGGTTTTGAGCTGCCTTTGAGGATCAAGCATGAGCTTGTCTGCCAGTTTTAACCCCCACCCCCCAAACTCCCAGTGTGTGGAGGGGGTGACTACATATTTCACCGTGCCTCCTAACATGAAAAACAAGCACAGCGATGCAATTTGAACTTGATGGTTTGGATCACATCCCTTTTGAGTCTTGCGCACAAATATCTACACAAGTTGAGTTCTGATTCAAGTCCAGGCCTTGAGTTTTCAGAGTCAGGAAGGCCCATCCTGACTGAGTTTTCAGAGTCAGTAAGGACCATTTGGGTAGTATTTATCAGAGAGACTAGTTTGCTTATGGAAAACTTTCTATATCTTTCCAGTTCTGTATATAAATTAGAGCTTGTAGATGTTTTAATCATCAGGGTAATGATTTACCTTCCCTCTTTACCTGTCCTCAGTTGCTTCATAGTACACACTAGAGGGGGGGGAGTAATGGGTAGGGGAAGAACAATAAGAGGAGAGCTTGTTATCGGAATACTTGAGGACCAGCTGTATCTTTTTCAGAGAGGCTAATCCTCACCACCATACTCCCTTCCTTTTGTACTCTCTATACTGTAATTGCATCCTCTGTATTTTGTTGTTGGATCTGCTTACCCTAGAATATCTGATTTCATAATAGTAAGCTTGTTTATTCTTAAGCTGAATACCAAGAAGAACCAGCTTCATCAGTAAGCCATATTTCTAGTCTCATGACTAAGGGTTGGGCTGGTCGAATTGAAGGAGGGTGGACCCTGTGCCATGGGGAGTATGGAGTGGATCTAATGAGAGAAGAGAGATAGTGCTGGGGAGGAATGTTGAAGTAGAGAGACCCTCTCTCTCTACTTTTATTGGAGAGAAGTGAAGTCGGAGTTCTGGAATGAATCTGGGTGTTCGAATCTACTCTAAGATACTTGGGTAAGACCAATAACCTCCCTCCCCTACTTCAGCTGAAATCTGAAATCACAGCTTCTTGTGAATCATTCATACTTGGTCTTAATCTAAACTGAGATTGGTGGCTTTCTGGACCCATTGTTAGGAGCGAAACTGGGCCAGTTGATATGGTCCAGAATGGTGTATGAGGCAGAGTTCATTGATACTTGAGTGGTGAAACTTGAATTTTCTCTCACATAGAAAAAGTTATAAGAGTGGTAGAAGAAAAGAAAACATTAAAAAACAACATACGTAGGTGACATATGAGAATTATATTCTAAGGATGTAGTTCTTAGGAATTAATCTACCTGTAATGGATGACCTAATTTATGGTTTTTTCTCTTCACTCCAGGAGGTGACTTTGGTCCAGAGAATTCTCCCCCAGTCCTGCCCCCTGGCCATGGTGGTGACTTGTCTGTGAGCAGCATTCCTGTGGCAGAAGACACCTACAGGGTGAGCTTGGCCAAAGGTGTCTCAATGTCTCTGCCTTCATCACCTCTGCTGCCTCGACAGTCTCATTCGGTGCAATCAAGATCAAATAAAAAATCCCCAGGTAAGTAAGCAACAAAATAGCACCCTAACTGTCTTCGTTATATATGTAAGGCATGTATTGAGATTAAGCAAAACTAGTGCTTGTAAGAAATTTCCTGGGAGGTTTTTTCTTTGTTACAGTAACTTCTGGAAGAAGAAAATCTCTAAAAAACAAAGTTTTGATTTGAATTTAGACTAATTTCTTTAGTTTAGCCTATATACAAACTATTTTGATAGCTTAGGTTAAACTTTTACCAAGATTCAGGATCTTGTTATCAGTATTAATGTTAATCAGTCATTGGTCTTGTTTTCTTGGTGGTGAATTAGGAAATGCTATAATCTAAACTCATTGTGGTGCATTTAAAGATTTTGGATTTTGGCAAGTGTAATCTGACAGCAGTCCATTTATTACTGCCAAGTGTTATATACTAATATACTTTCCTTGATTACATCACTCAGCATTTGAGTAGATATACAATTTGTGAAAATTCAGATTTGTAAAGGGGTGGGAACAAGGGTCTCATGGATTACTTGTTTAAAGTATTTTGGCTTCCTTCATCATTACCAACTTTTTGCACTTAACATTACCAATGGAAACACAAACATTAGTTAACTTTGAGAGGTTACGAATCAGACGTGAGGAAAGCCTTTCCAGAATGCTGATACTCGCAATCATGAAAGTTCTTTGATCTTCTTTTATGTTTGCTGAGCATTTGTTTTCTGAGGGTAGGATAGTTTGGGGTCTTTACTGATCAATCATATGCCAGTGAAAGGATTCTTCTCATTTATCCATGAATGTGTTTGGGATTGGTCTACATTGTGTCCTGGGCCTATAAAATTGGTATCTGTTTTTCTGGTTTCCTAAATGTTTGTATTATTTGAGATGTGATAGGCATGGTTTCTGAATCATTTAGTGGATATTTTCAGTTTGTGTGGTGACAAAATTAAGAGGACAAACCTTGACACTTTGAATGTTAGAAATGATGCTATGAATTGGTAAGTGTCCAAAATCTTTTATTGTCCGAGAGCTTTCTTATTTTGGACAACATTGTTTACAATCCAGTCATTAGCTGGAACTTGGAAACCTTTTTGGTATGAAGCAATTTCCTGTGCCAAGGAATTTGACCTGTTTATCAGTATTTGGGGAAATTCCTGGAATGTCCTTCTTTCTCTTTGCCTTTCCCTACGACTGTATCTCTGTCAGATTTCTCTTCTTCTTTCAAATCCTGGTTCCCACACTGCCTTTCTTGCTGGTTACCCCATTGGAATGACTATGCAAATTGTACATAGCGTTATACTTTTTTCTGTATCAGCCACGTCATTTGCCCTTTTTCCTTGAATCAGTGTGTTCATGTGCATCCTGTGTCTGGTGGGCATGCACAGGCACAATGTCTTCTTTAAGTATACCTCATCTATAAAAAACAGATAATAGAATTCTGAATCTATCTGGATTCCTAAGGGAATAGTACTTGCAAGTGCCAAGTGCAGAGATACGACCTTTAGGAGAATTTGCCCTCCTATATAGCCTGTGCTGCTGCAAAGGAATTGATGCTTCTTGGGCCTTAGGCCTGGTGAATGCCTAAGAGACTAGGGAATATGCATTTCAGATAGGATTTTATTATTAACAAATTAAAGGTTTATTTTAGTGGAACTTCAATCTTCTTTTTAATTTTTCTTAATTTGATTTCTTTCCAGTTCTATGGAGATACACTTGACCCATAACACTGTTTCAGTGTATAACATAGTGATTTTGTATATGCATGTGTATATTACAAAATGATTACATTAAGGTTAATTAACACATCTATCACCTCATATAGTTATAATTTGTTTATTTTATGAGGTTTTAGTGGGATGTTAGGTAGCAATGAATGGCATGGCAAGCATGGGAAGTATGGTTATCCAGAAGTGTCTCAGAGTCTATAGGCTCACTGGCCAGAAATCCCTGACGAGCCCTGGTCTCCTGTGTCCTGACCAAATTTGATATCCTTAGTGTTGAGAAAATATCCTATAGTTTGTTTCTTCTCCATGGGAATAAAATTTATTTCTGCTAAACTCTGTGCAAGGCCTTATGAATAGAAGAGAGTAGTTTTGCAACATTCAGCTTTTTAATGGATTGAAGAAAATACTCTCCATTTAGATGCTTTGAGTCCAAATTTAATACACTAAGCAGATTCTCCTCTAACGGAGCCATGCTTGTGCGTTGCCTAAATTTGTGCAGCAAATTAGTGTCTCACAGTGATAATTTGGCTTCATTATCTTGGCAATTTTAATTCAAAAGGGAAGCTAAGGGCAGAGATGCTTGCTTAAAAATGGCGTGACTCAGAGTACATCAGACAATAAACAATGTTTTTCTACAGTGTCTAACACAGGCAGGTTTCTGTTCAAGCCATATTGTTAGAAAAGTACCCAGAGACCTACTGTTCTACCTGCCTGTAAAATAAGTTGACATATGGTTGTGAACGTGCACTGGATTTAAAAATAGCCTTCTATTTAAAAAGCTAGCACTGTTGCTAATGATACAGTAAATACATTGTGTGTGCCATACCCCTAAGTATTGAGGCCTGCACTAGTGGGCTATGCTTCAGAATCTTGTCATCTTTCAGACCTAGCTCTGAAATTACCTTGATGACTTCTGTTCTCATTTTTAAGATAAGACCCTCTCTCCCTCTTAAGAAGGTACATAAAAAAAAAAAAAAAAAAAAAAAAAAAAAAAAAAAAAAAAAAAAGAAAGAAAGAGAAAGAAAGAAAAAGGAAGGAAGGAAAGAAGGAAGGAAAGAAAACCTAAACCTGTTTTACTTGTTTGGATAGAAACTCTTTACTAATTGATGCTAATCAAGAAACTGTCAGGGACTGAAACTATTTTGGCAAAGGTCAAATACTATAAACCCCTGTAATAGGCACTCAGCATAGCCTGTATTAATGAAAGTTTGTATTTTAATACAATAGGTGATTAGCTCCTGGGCCTTGGGAACTCTGGGCCAGAGAGTTTCATTAACCTTGCAATAATGTGACCCTGCATTTTTCATTGTTGAGTTTCTTACATTCCACTTATATTGCTAGTTAATATTATTTACTCTCCTACTACCTTGCTCCATATATTTATATTTTTTCTATTATTTAGTCTGAAGCTGCAGTTTTTGAGTATTGTTGCAATTTTTTTTTTTTTTTTTCCTGAATGATAACTACATTGTGGCTAAAGAAAACAAGGACCAGTATCCCTTATAGTCTTGTGGTGGTTACAAGCCTTTTTGGACTAAGAAGTCATTAATATTTGTAATGTATCCTTTTGTCTTCCAGAGAAGAGCAAAGCCCATTTCCCGTGGTTTATTTATTAGTAATATCATTAGTTACTTTATAGTTGGATTATATTTCCCAGATCACTTTGGGCCCATTATGAAACACTCAAAAGGTAGGGCATGAAAGAGAAGCAAGCTTTTAAAATACTGTGATGGGGGTACAGCAGCAGATGGTGGAAAGTGGGTGATCTTGCTTTTTTCATCCTCACTTATACGGGGAGACTGGATGGTGCTGGCTGTTTGCACCTGTGCCGCTTCCGGTTCTAGTTCTGTCTCCGTTGACAGAGCTGATGTAGCAATTGTGAAAATCCTTCTGGCTGTCTGTTTCTTTAAGGGAGAAACCTCAAAGCTGACAGCCTGTAAAGTGGAAGTCATTCTACCCTTTGATTCTTGGACCGTAAGTTAATTCTCTGCCAAGGCCCTCACCCTCTAAGAGTGTTTCTTGTAGAAAATTTGGAGATCCCAGGATAGAAACAGAACTACTCTTAGCGTTTTTATTTAAAAAATTATTTTTACCTATTCCATCTAGACCTGAAACCACACTCGTGCTGCTTTTTTTCGCTTAATATTATATCATGAACAATTTCCAATTTGCTTGAAGAACTTGAGATTTAATGTCTGTTGTTTCAATATCCCATGATTGATTAAAAAATTTTTTTATGCTTTATTTAATGTTTTATTTATTGAGAGACACAGAAAGAGAGAGACAGAGAGAGTGGGGTGGGGGAGGAGCAGAGAGAGAGGGATTCACAGAATCTGAAGCAGGCTCCAGGCTCTGAGCTGTCAGCACTGAAAGCCCAATGCAGGGCTCGAACCCATGAACCACGAGATCATAACGTGAGCCAAAGTTGGGGATGCTCAACCGACTAAGCCACCCATGCGCCCCTCTATGATTGATTTTTAACTAATTTCCAGTTGTTGGATATTTGTTATTTTTTCAGGCTTATTTATTTATTTACTTTGTTACTGTGGGTTTTTTTTTTTTTTTTTTAAGTTTATTTATTTTTGAGAGAGAGCAGGGGAGGGGCAGAGAGAGGGAGAGACAGACTCCCAAGCAGGCTCCCCAGTGCAGGGCTTGAACTCACAAACCGTGAGATCATGACCTGAGCCGAGATCAAGAGTCAGACACTTAACTGACTGAGCCACTGAAGTGCCCCCAGGTCTTTTTAAATTGTAGCATAAGCCCAGACATTTTGCTTTGTTCTTGCTGTCAAATGCCTATGAATTCAAAATTATTAATTGCGGTAAAATACACATAACAGAACTTACCATTGTAACCATTTTTTAATGTACAGTCCGATAGTGTTAAGTACATTCACATTGTTGTGCAACCGGTCTCTAAAACTCCTAATGTGAATGTTTTGTCCAGTAATTTTTATACATATCCAATCTCGTAAGAGTGGCAAGTTCCCAGAAGTGGAATTATTGAACAAAATGGACTGCATTTTTAAGAATCTCGATACATACTGCCCAGTCACTTTCCAGAAAAGCTGTATTGATTTCACATTCCCTCCAGAATTCTTTGAGAGGCAGCTTTTTGAAGTTAATGTCTTCTGGGAACTGTCTTAGATGGATACTGCTGGTGAGGTGCTTTGTCCAGGCTAGCTGTGGACTAGTCAGAATTAGTTAGAAGGGGCTGAGAGAAGCCCTCCTGTCACCTTCCTCTTTTGAACTCCCCTCTGTTGGCACCTCTCAGGAAATTCTCACTTTCTTTTCCTTCCAC